AATTAAAATATACAAAACTACAATTTTATTTTGTTTTGTATGAAGGAGCTTGAGTATGGGGTGCTGAGGAGAATAGTTACACCTAAGAGTGAAAATGTAACTGGATGCAAAGCACTAAAATGCATAATGACAAGTTTTGTACCAAATCAAAGAAGATCAAATGGATTGAGCATGTCAAGTGAACAGGATATGAGAAATGAACACAACATTCTGATCAGGAAAGCTAATGGGAGCACTTAACAGACATCTGTAGGTAGGTCAATAATATTCAGATGAATCTTAAATAGTGTGTAAAGTAAATTCAACTGATTCAGGAGAGGTTCCAGTACATACAGTAATTAAAATTTGGGTATCATAAAAGGTACAGGATACCTTGGCTAGGTTAACTATTAGCTCTTAAAGTACTCTTCACCATACAGTTAATATTTTTCTGCAAAGTTCATGTTGCATGCCTACAGAACAGATGCATCATTCTTGAGATATAATAGAAACCATAAATAATATGTTTCCACCTTATATAACGGAAATATAAGTTCATAAAAACACAAAATACATACTAAACTCCAAAATTAATTTCAGTAAGAGTTTGCAAGACGAATGTTATCTACACAATGATGGCAATCTGTTAAAGAATTGTGGGGTCTTCTTTACAAATGCATTTACTTCCAAAACAGCCCTGGCATTCCTAGCAGGTAGTTTTACAGTGGGGCTTGGCACTCAGAGGGTTAAACCACATGTTAAGAAACTCAGAAATTAAATTCCAATACACTCCCAATGAAGGGTATGGATCGATTTGTGCGTCACATATTTCCTCAAGCATTAGCAAAACTGTAAATCAGTTGTCATTATAAACTGCATAATTTATATTTCCATTTATTTTCATGTTAATAAAATTAACTTAATTAAAAAACTTGTAAAACCAGGTCTCTCTGTAGTTGGTGGCAAATATCTCTGTGCAATACTATCTTGCAATAAGAAACCTGTACATATATACACCTTCTAAAGATGCAAATTCCTTGTTTGGTTTCCCCAAATACCTGACAAATAATATGGCAAAAGGCTATACAGACAAACTTACAGGCACTGAATTCACTTTGATGTGAAGTTTGCCTCTTGACAACTACGTAAGAGAATGGTCAGCAGCATCATCACAATAATATAAACAAAGTTGGCTGCTGTAATACACTTATAAAACTATAACAGCAGAATGTAACAGCCACATCACTGCAGAGAAATTGTGCAGTACTGAAGAGGTAGAAAAAGACAAAGATACCTAATAATGACATAATGGGAATGTGGAATTCACTCTCTGCTAGAACACACAAACTCATATCCAACACTATCAGCAATACATAGTCAAAGAGTCTATATAAATACCTTTTAATTTAAAATTCAGTTGGACCAACATCTTAAGTCTTCCATCCACAATTTATAACTGCAACATATGCAGTGGAACCATATGGGCATGTGGATCTCTCTGCCATAGTATTGGATGATGATTTTACAATATTCAAAAAAACACGTAGATTGAAATTGTAATTGTAGATTAGGCCCTCAAAGGAGTCTACTGCCCTGTTTACCATGTCTGCTGGCATGGGACAAGGTTAAACAGCCATCTGCTAGCGCATTGCATCTTTGTCCTAATCATAGCCCAGGCTTTGTGTTCCACTGTCCATGTTGCAGAATGCCACCTGATATAACATGGCCAGAATTCCATTATTTCATGTCCCTCTTTATATTCAACTTGTGAAGGTAACAAAATATTTTGATGTCCTATATGACTACATATAATTTGAACTATTTATTTGTAAATTGGTATTGATGTGGGGGGGCAGCTATTTCCAGTTGCCCCAAGCACTAAGACAACTACCAGGTCAACTGTCCATCCCCTTTTAAACCTGACTCTTAAGATATCAACAGATCTTATTCTAGACACAAAATTTATTCATACCTTCAGTTAGCCCATTCTTGGAAATGCTAACATGTTAACCATCCATATGTACAGGCAGCATATGCTGGTTTTAATTTTAGAAATTTGTCACATAATAAAACATAGGCCTAGTTGAAAAATAGGTTTCTATAATTAGATATGTCACTTAGAGCCGTTCAATGGATTCCACATGTATAGACAGGACTGACTTCAGTGTAGATACAGTGTTCCAGGTTATCTTACAGAGAACAGATTATGCCTTTTATTTGTTAATAATGTATGTTATGTACAAAAATGTGCATTTCCTTTGGCACAGTTGGGTAAATTGAAGCCTTAGGGTAACTTGTTATACTTTAAAAAATATCATGTTATGTGATTCAAGTTATAAACATCACCGTCTCTCATCTCCATACTAACAATGTTCATCTGACCTTGTCAGCATAAAAAATGACATCTTGCATAACCAAAGCATACATTTCATGTATGCAAATTCTACATGCTGCTTCAGAGAGGCTGAAGGTCCAACTGAATTGAGTGCCGTAAAATTCAACAATATTCTAAATGTAAAGAAATAACATTAACTTGGTTTTAAAACCAGCTATTGTATACAACATATTCTGCAAGCACAGCCTTGTCCACAAACTCACAGGAACATCATCATCAACACTGACTGATGAATATAAATATATCACAATATTAAAAATACTGCATCACACAAAAGGAATTTAATTAATTAAGTTAAATGGGAGGACAAAGAAAAACACGAAGATAATGTGCAAATGATACAGAATTCATAAAACAAAAAGCAGAAACATAAGAAGTTTTTCATCTCCAACCTGTTTAAATTAAGGATATAAAAAGACCTATGATCTTATATTTGATACAAAATATGGGTACTCCTGGCAATGGCAATAAAGGTTGATCCAGAATGTTTCTGAATCTAACAATTACTGTAACTCAAAGATTATTTTTACTGTTCAGTCAATGGAAGTTTCTGTTGTTTGAAGCTCTTACATTTCCTCAATCCAATACAAAGTACATTTGCAAATATCACGCATCTTAATCTCAATGCAATGAATGAGAACACAATCTGGTGTCTCCACCCACAGGCCATCCAGTCTAACATCAGAACCACTATCACTATGAGTCATATTTAGGACAAAGTCAAATATGAAGTTTCTAATATTTATCCACTAATTTTAGCTCCTCTGACAAGAATATGCATTCCTTCCTAAATTTATCCATGTAGTAAAATGCTAATTTTGCTGTAGTTTTACTGTATCCATGGTGCAACAGAATTCCTAACACTTTGAAATTAAGCATTGAATTGGTACATGGAATAGTGAAGGACAATGCAAGCAACTGTACTGGTATCATTCTATATACTTGTAAGATACAAATGAAAGTCTTTTAGAAGAGTTTATTTTTTGGGGGGTTAAACTTCATTTACCTGTAAGACAAAATTTCCAAGCAATAAAATTTAGGCAATAATAAAAGTTCTATTTACAAAGTACCATACCACAGAGTACAAAAGCTGTTACTAAAAGGTCCAAATCATCAATTATTATATAAAAAAAGTACTGGTAAGGTAATATTACGTGTTAAGAAAAAGAACACCTATGAGATAAAGTTGTCCCTGTAACTCCATGCCTGGCACTAGATAGAATTGCGTATTCAACTTCACACTCTGCCTATTTTACCACCAGTACTATTCTGTTGGTTGAGGGGCTATGCTACAAGCTGGAAGGTCGCAGGTTCAAGTCCCGATGAGGTCATTGGATTTTTTTCAATTGACCTAATCCTTCCAGCTGCACTAGGCCCTGGGGTTTACTCAGCCTCTAACAGAAATAGGTACCAGGAATTAATTAAATAATTTTCCTGGGGAGTAAAGCGCGGCCGGCACGTAAGGCTAACAACCTTACTGCCATCTTTGAGCCGATTGTCTACATAGTGTGGGATCCTCAACGTCTCACAACCCTATGGGCCTTCATGGCCTGGTACAGGGTTAGCTTTACTTTTTACTTACTTTTACTATTCTGTACGTGGTTGAATGGGTTGCATTGCCAGTTCAGACATGGTGATGGAAGAGCAAATCCTGCTCCTGCTAATACTCGAACAGTATTCATCGAGCCCATAGCCAGTCATGACGAGTACTAGCATGGGTATAATGCTGTATAAACAGTGATGATGGCACATGTTATATATAAATGACTAAGTTTACTTTAGCATTTCTCTGAGTTGTCTTATGAGATCTTGCTCCTGTAAGTTTCCTACCCTCTGTTAATGTTTTCATATTCTGACATTTATTTTATGATGAATTTTATGCTTCAAACCACACTGCAAACTGGAGCTCAAGAACTGGTGCTATAAAGAAGTATGGAACTGAAGGTGGAAAGAAGGGAAGCTCATGAAAGCAAGTTCCCACAGTGATAAGCCCTGGCTAGCCCCACCAACACAGTAATTTCAGGTTTATCATTATTGAGGTTTTTGCACATTATCCATCATCCTGACTTTTATTTAAAATAATGTTTTAAAGACTGAATTCTGTCTCCGACCTCAGGTAAAAGTCTACTCAGTTGGGCTCAATGACAAAGCTCGTCCCTATTTATGGACCCAAGCACCAACACAAGACAAGATATATAGTGTTCCAGGAGGAAGGGTCAATATTCTGGAAGGTTATAATATAAGTCATTCTAAGCAAAAAAATTTATCATGTACGTGTCCTATTCAAAACGGTTTCTGAGCTAGAGCTATTACATTGCACAGTTCCAAAATTGTTGACAAGAAAGAGATATTACATACTGTTTCTAATAGTGTATTTATTGTTCAGGCAACAAAGTTGGTACATTTTTGTAAATTCCACCATCAATATCAATGCACTTTGCAACCTGTGTGAGGACATGGTGTGTTGCTTGTCTGTACGGTGTACAGGGTACCGCACAGTGGAACAGCTATCTCAGAAATCGTCTGGAATAGGACACATGCATATATGCACTTTTTTGCTTAGAAGAAGTAATACCACGACTTCCCAGAATATTAACCTTTCCTCCTGGGACAACCTGTATAAACCAAAAACAACATAAACCATCAATGGGAGTGGACCTGTAAGATTGCAGCAATTTCTTCAGCACCTCAACAGCCTTAGACATACCATCAAATTCACAATGGAAGTGGAAGTTTATGATACTCTTCCTTTCTTGGACGCCTTGGTCATTAAGAGGGGTTCTAAATTAGCTATAAAAGTATACAGAAAACCTACTCATACAGGCCATTGTCTACATTTCAAGTCCAACACCCATACCACATAAAAGAGGAGTCATTCATAGCTTGATCAGTACAGCCAAGGTCATATGTCAGGATCAGAAGGCTGTAATACAACAATTCATTGACTCCTTAAGAAGGCAGCGAGAAGCAACCGTCCTTTTTCAGACATAATATATCATGGCACAGTCATTATTCCTTATGTTAGGAGTATTTAAGAGAAATTCAGATATACTGGGAATCATTTCAATGTCAGGACCATTTTAAAAATGAAACACACACTCCTTTGGACACTGATGAAAACTGGACCAGTGATAGATGCCCAGAAGACGAAGCAGTGTGTGTATGGTATCCCATGTTGATTGTGGTAGATGTTACATCAGCAAAACAAGCAGATCTTCAGACATACACATTAAGGAACAAAATATAATCTGACCCAAGGTCTCCTTAAAAAATCAACATTACCCCAACATCTACATGAAGAAGGCCATAAAATATGTTGGAAAAAAGTGAAGGTCCTGCAGACTAACCTGAACACCACCTACAGGAAACACAAGGAATCCGCCCACGTCTCTCTGGCAGATCATGTGATCAATCAACCCGGCTTGGACATCTCTATCATATGGACTACAATTACTGCAGAAGAAGTTAGAAAATTACAACCCTGTCCAGTGTATATTATGTGGAAAAGTTGTGCTTTTATGTTGGCACTACACAGAATTTGTCTCTTTAAGTGCTGGCTTCTATTTTGATAGTACTCTGATGTTACAGACAATGGTCATTAAATTATGCATGGCCATAGCTGCAAGGCTGGTGGTTTATGTTGTGTTTGGTTTGCACATCCTGTCTTGTATTGGTGCTGGTGATCAGAGATAGGGATCAGCTTTATCGACTGGGCCAAACCGAGTAGGCTTTTTCCTGAGGATGGAGACAGAATCCAATCTCCAAAAACGTTGTTTTTAAATAAAACGCATGACAATGGATAATGTACAAAAACTCAGTAACTGTATTAATACACCATCATCACAAATTTCAGCTTTGTTAGCCGCTTAATGCTATAAACGATCTGAAGTGAAGTTCTGAGAAAGGCAGGCACAGAAAACACTATACAACATGCTAATGCTTTATGGACATTTTGGTTAATAAATTCTACCCTTATGGAAATTTGGGACAAATACTGAATTTTTTAACACAAAATGTAAAACAACAATAAATTCGGCCCAAATTATTTTTTGAAACATGATTATTTGTTACAAAATTCAGATTGCCTATGTGCATGCATTAGTGACATAGCAGGATATGAAGCTGGCAACTGTCATAAGCACACATGTCAGTGCTGCAATGAACAAAATGAATGTAGCCTGAAAATTGCAAAAGCACTACATGGTGCCATGAACTGCTACAAATGGCCATATAAGGAGAAGTCTTTTCGTTTTTTATTGTTTGTTTGTTTGTTTGTTATTAGAACTGAGGTAGAAGGAGATGCTGATTATCATGATGAGGCAGATGTGAGTACAAGTAACAGTCCTAAGCCTCCAACTCCCTCAATATAACCTATCAAAACCTTTGGTAAATAAAGCTCAAATGTTTATATTTATTTTGTGTACCTATTATTATTTCTGATGGGTAAAAATGCATGTTTTTATTATAGCTATGGACTGAAAAAATCTCCAAAGGAACACATCTCCACTCACCACATGTGAGTCAATTGAGAAACAGGTTTGACATTACAGAATTTGGTGATATACATCTTCAAGAGCCCATCCCTTCCATAACACAGGGACTTGTGATAATATCAATGTAAGTTTTATGTAACTTCAAAATAAACTGGCGTGAAGAGTGTGTAATAATATCACTGATGTCAGCAAGCACTGATGATGTTGGTAACAATGAGATAATGGTGGACTAAATGGAATAAATGAAAATAAGCCTATCTCTACAATACCTAAAGACCCACTCTAACAGTGTCTGAATATTATGAATTAGATACATTTACTTTTCATTATTTTACATGAACCGTTTCAAACTCTTGAACTCCATGGTTTTCTAAGAACAATATATACCAACTACATTCACTGAGTCATTCACATTCCTACTAAGAAGCAGTGCTCAATTTAGTGCATAATTTAAAATCACTGAAGAAGAAAATACATATTAAACTCAAGACTTCTAAAAAGAAGTTGTGGAACATGATACAAGTCTAACACTGTCATACATTAAGAGTCATACAGAATCATAACATTTTCATAAACTGTGCATTTATTAGGATGTTCCAATATCTAAATACTTTTAAATGCAAGAAGTTCCTGAGCAAATCCCTGTGACAAGATGAATACTCCAAAAAATTTACTTTTTTAATGTAAAAACGTCAGTAAGACTTCATCCAAAATTGGTAAAAGCAACACCTTCCACACCTGCAGTTTGAACACTTTAAAAGTTAAAAAGCCACTATACACAAATGCAAAACTTATGCCATGTTATAGTATACTGACACTTTGATGAACATTTACAAATACATTTGCTTGCTTTATCCTCCAGTGTCCTATGTCTGCCTCCATTCCAGCTTCAAACCTTCCTCACATCCTATTCATTTGGAGTAACTTAAGAAAACTGCAGCAAAAATGTAATCTATATAAATAGGCTTTGAATGTAGGAGCTTTAGGACAACACACGCACAAATGTACACACATTAAGTTATTCATGGGAACTTCAGCTAAATGAACACTGATGAAATAGGAAGACACATAATAATTACAAACAGCAAAATTCTCTGAATGTTTAACAATATGAGAGAGATGGTGTTGACTGCTTTGCTCTTCAATTGCTTAAATACATATCCACACATTCTTACTGCAAAGAATGTATTTTGTGCAAAATTGTGTACATTAGATTTTGGATACACGAATTATTATAATATTATCAAAGTCATGTGGCTTCATTAATATGAGAAAATTTTGATAAAATATGCACAAAACCATGATTAAATCCATTACCAGGGGGAGAGATTATAGTCACATCACAAGACAGGAAGAATAATTCTGATCAACAAGAAGACCCAAAATATAAATGAACAAGTGTACAAAATACCACTAAGCACCACCAAGTACATATATGAAGAGATAAAAGGTAAAAATACACTTGTAGAATCAAAGTAGAATAACAGTGATTTTCATACATATACGTATTAAGTTCTGGAAATGGAAGTATGGAAATGAACAAAGTCATCCAGCAAAATAATAGTAAGCATGGGGCTCCTGTTTACTGTACAACAGACTTCATTCTTTGTAATATAGAGATCATGTAGTCATATATTTACACATTACTGCAGTTTTAAAAGAATATGCTTTTCTCCATTCTCATCTAAAAAAGACAACATGTGTAACAGGGCTTTGGTGTACTTTTACTTAAATGTATACCATATAAAATGAAGAACTCAACTACTCCATTGCTCCAACGTGTTTACGTCAGGAACCACAATCATTACTCACTTGATGACTAGAAGGAAGTATGTATTGTCCTTAACTGACTGCTGCATCAATGTCATGAGCCACAAAGTACTGAACCACTGTGCTTCTTGCAGACAGCTTTTAGCATCTCAACTGTTCATCAACTATCTGGGAACAACTCTGGTAAATTATGTCCACCTTCACTAGGACATTTTGTGCTTTTTCTTCTGATCCCGTTTCCGATCAACATCTGTTGTTGGGTGAGGCTTCAGTTCTCTGAAGGCTAACTGAAAAATAAATACAATCTATTAGCAATGATTCACAAAAGTAACATAATGGGCAGAATGGTATAGCAGTAGCTTGTATCTGGGAGGCACCCAGTGTTGACCAGGTTACTGATAATTTTTGCTAAGGTGTTCTCTTCGAGTACACCATGACCACCTCCTCCAAATCTTTATCTACTTACCATTCGTGATTGGTTATCTTATATCATTCAGTACTACATACTTCCTGAAACAGCATTGTTAAATAGCATATGAATCAATTAGTCACACACAGCATTATCAGCCTGAGAGAACCACAAGGTCTTTCATGAACAGGTCAGTCAAAAAATTGTTCAGCTATTCATGGAGTTCTCAATAATGAAGTAACTGTCAATAGGATCTTGGGATGTAGACATGGTTGGAGACAAATATGAATTCTTCCACATTTCTGGGGAAGTTATGGACCTGCTCTGAGTTCAGTCTACCACGCATGATGGCCTCCTTTGTCAGCAGCTGAAAATTCTTTTTGACAGTCTCACCTGACATTCTGCCCAAATGTTCCTCCTCCTCTTAGAAAATTAACAGTTGCATGAGGATGGCCAAGTAAGGTTGATACATGTAGCACTTAATTGCAATGTTAATGTTATTTTAAATTAAGAGGAGATTGTGAACAAAGTTGCATTGAAGATGAACGTGAATATGTAGAGTGATATATCAATGCAACAGGATGCTCAAATACAATATTCTCTTAGAACATTGTTTCAAAATTTCTCACCGCTGCTCAATCCTGAAAGTTTCCTTTCAGAATTCTTCAGTCAAAGGTGATTCTATCTACATAATAGAGAGAGCCAAAGCAGGATATTAACACAGTAACATGGAAGGCCTGTCAAGGAAACAAAAATACAGGCCTAAGGGGTCCCCTGTAAAGGTGTGACAGCACAAGAAGCCAACAATGAATATCAAATCGCTTCTATGAACAGATAAACCCTGACAGTGAATGTCTTAATAAAATTAGATTTCAGGTTGTCAACAGTGGTGAGGATTTAAAGCGTAGTCTTCTGGGTTATGGCATCATACAGTTTGGTAGGGGGTCACCAACAGTATTCTATTATTGTAAAGGTACATATTGGTAACTACCTATAAGGCTGCAGAGTGATATAACCCAGAAGACAACAATCTGTGGGGCACTCTTGTCAAATATGTGTGTAGTCTTGTCATTACTCCTATGACAACCCACTTCTTCGGAACAATTTGTTGGCCCTGAAAAGGACCGTGGTTGCTGAGATGATTTGACGGTGAGGTAGCGCGGCGCGCGCCGGTAAGGAGAAAGGCTAGTTGCGGTGAGTGGCCTGGCCGCATGCGGCCGTGGCTGGAGGTTGCTTGGTTGCCGTGCGGCAGCGTGAGTTGGAGGTTGCTTGATCGCTGCGCGGCAAATGGCGAAGGTTGCTGCTGGTGGTGAAAGGCTAGTCGAGCGCGGTCGTAAGAGCCATGAGGCAGTGGCTACGCCAGATGGCCAGTGAGTCGAACCGTAACACGACCACCGGCGAGTCCAGGCGCTGTGCCCCAGTGAGTCGGGTGTGAGAGCGCTGGCGAGCCGAGGCAGTCGTGCCTGGCGAAGCCTGCCGATGTCTCCGAAGACCGAGCGCTGGCGACGAAGCCTGCTGGCTTATGTTGCTTGATGTGAGTAGCTTGTAGACGGAAGCTGAACTGAATAGAACTGAATAACTCTGCTCTTTTATACGCTGGTCGGTGGGGCGGAGCCAATCTCGAAAGTGAGGAGCAAGAATTGATTGGCTAGCGCGCGTAATGGTGTAGACGCGGACTATCGCCGAGCGTAGTATAAATGCGATCGTTTGAAGCAATCTGATTGGTTAGCGCGCGTGATGGTGAAAAGTGATGTGAAGAGCGAGCGTTGCAGAAATGCGTGATAATGTGGGATGTTCCCACAAATCTATGTGTTAATGAAATTATTAAAGATACTGGAATAAGTAAACAGTACTAGTCTAAATGTACACTGGAAAAGTGATGAATTGGGGAAAAGTATCATGCAGTTCTGCCGTAACAAAGCTCTCATAATTTTGCTGCCAGTGAAAGGGATTAGTCACTACCTGCTGTTGTATACACATGTAAAACTTCTATCACTCAAAGGATAAAAAACAGACTTGGGGTGTTTAAGAACAGAGTGCTGAAGAGATTATTTGGAACTAAGAGAAGGGAAGTAATAGGAGGGCAAAGAAAATTACATAAAGAGGAACTTCATAATCTATACCCTTCACCAAATATTATTAAGGTGGCCTCTTACCATTCAGCATCACTTTTGAAATGCTGTGTGTATGTTTTATTTCCTCATACATACTATGTATAAAACCTATTTCAACCCAGCTTATTTTATTAACTGAACAATCATATGACACTCACTATTATATAATTTTATCCAATCCCCAGTTCAACTTCTCCTAGATGCAAATTTATTCTTTGCACTTTGTTATCAAACACCTGCAGTATTTCTTCCTCTCTGAGAGAAAAAAATTAAGTCCCACATAAATAAAAAGTATTCTGATAGTTTTTATATTGTTTTGGGAGAAAAACAGTATTCAATTAAAATAAACATGATAAAATAACCATTTATAAGTGATAAATGGTGCAAACAACATCGTTCTTGTGTCATGCAAGTTGAACAGTTAGAAACAATCTATATAGAAGTTGTACACACCAAATCTTCATCATCTGGTACCCTGGAGAGGAGATCCAGTACTTCATTATTGGGGACAGTGTGTGGACGAACAAGTTTGCGAGCAAACTTGTTCACTCCCCATGCCATAATGAGGTAACGGACAGACACGAGATAGAGAACTACAGCTCCAGCTAACAGCAAGAGAATTGCCAGAGCACTGAGGTACGGCACTGTAAAGTTGAATGTGCTGTGAACAAGAGCAGATTTTTCAGTTATGAGGGATGTTTCATGTTGAAAGCAGCTCCAACACTAGATGACAAACGATTTAACTAAAATAACAATACCCAAGCTGCCGAAATCAACAAGTTAATATCGACAAAGACTGAGTAGAAATGATACACATTCATCACATAGCATTCAAGATAAAATAACTATCAATGAAGCCAAACATTCTGCAAGAAAATATGGCATATACTTACTTTTTAATACTTTCTCCAAGAGAGGCAATATAACCAATTGAATTTTGAACACTTTGTGTCACTTCCTGTATGGCTTGAAGGCGTTCCTTTAAACTCTTTTTTTCTTCCTGAAATTACAGCATGTACAAGTTACAATAAATGTAGTTAACATGGCAGCAATTCTTATACCCTCTGACAGACGGCCAACAGTGACTATACAAGACCTGAGGTTCTCACAGCAGTGGCTTTGGGTCTGACATCATACGGTTTTGTTAAGTTTACCAGTGTTTAGAATAACATACTGCCACCATCTTCATTGTCAAAGAATATTTACTTGGCTTACTTTTCAATCCTGAAAATGGAGGCAGTTCATTCCCCTGAGATGTCAATAAATTTCTACCAGATGGCATCACATTCCAGAAAACAGTTCTATTAATGGTGACCGTACTTCATTTATGATACCTACAGAGGCCAAGCAGATAACAGCAAAATGCTATTTCCTACAGACTGCTTACTTACTTACTTACTTACTCATGGAGCCGAGCCCTTCTTGAAGAGCCGCCAATTCTGCAGCTACTCAAGAATTTCGCAGCATTTTATGGAACTCAAAGGTTCATTACCGTGTTCACAAGAGCCCTCCACTGGTCCCTATCCTGAGTCAGATCAATCCAATCCATACCATCCTAGGCTACCTATCTAAATTCCATTTTAATATTGTCCACCCACCTACGCCTTGGTCTTCCCTGTGGTCTCTTTCCTTCCGGCTTCCCCACCAATATCCTATACGCATTCGTCTCCCCCATTCATGCTACATGACCTGCCCACCTCATCCTCCTTGACTTGATCATTCTAATTATACTTGGAGAAGAGTACAAGTTATGAAGCTCCTCATTATGCAGTTTTCTCCAACCTCCTGTCACTTCATCTCTCTTCGGTCCAAATATTCTCCTCAACACCCTGTTCTCAAACACCCTCAGTTTATTCATTCATTCATTCATTTATTTTTCGTTCCATGGATCCACAATACAAGTGAGATATAGGACATGTCCATACAGTGATTATTCTTAAAATTAATAGAGCAAGAACCAAATACATAAATAAAAAAGTATAAAATACAAAATTGAAACAAAACATGTAGAATTAAATAGATTCCAGTCATATAAGTTACTTTAATAAAACATGCAGTTTAAATTTAAACAATGTCAGTTTGAACATATCACAGAAATTGCTTAGGTGACTAGACTAGAATAGTAGAATCATGACTAGAATAATACTAATAAAAAACTGGATGATCAACAGGTGATTCTAGTGAATGCATAATCATTAACTTATAATGATTTATATTGGAAATATTCTTCCACAGAATAAAAATGATGAAGATAAAGAAAACGCTTTAAACAAATTTTGAACTTCTTAGGGTTGAGTGACTCTTCTTTTATATAAGAAGGAAGATTATTATAAATTTTTATGCCCATATAATACACTCCCTTTTGATATACCGTAAAATTTGCTATGGGTTGATAGAAATTTGTAATATGTCTTGTATTTATATTATGATTTAGTGAATTTGGAATAAAGAGACTTTTATTATTAACCACAAAGAGCATGAGTGAAAAAATATACTGTGAAGCCAAAGGCAAAATTTCCAATTTCCGAAAGAGATCTCTACATGAAACTCTACTATTACAGCCGATCATAATTCTAATTATCTTCTTCTGCATTCTAAATACTTTTATACTATGAGGCGAGACTCCCCAAAAGCAAAGACCATAGTTCATAACAGAGCCAAAATAAGAGTAGTAAATTGTTTTCAAAGTTTTTAGAGGCAAGTATGGTTTAATACTTCTCATCATATAACATGCTGAGGTAAGTTTTGGGATTATACATTCCACATGTGAACTCCAGTTGAGTGTATCCATTATGTTTATACCAAGAAACTTTATATTTGACACAGTGGTTACTGGACGATTGTTACAAACAATATCTACGTCGGTTGTGAGTTTATTTTTGGTTTTAAACTGCATACTATGAGTTTTATTAATATTTATTGAAAGCAAATTTGTCCTAAACCACTTATATAAATGATTAAAAACATTATTCATATTAATATGGAGATTTTCTGAATTTGAACCTTTAATTAATACGCTTGTATCGTCGGCAAACAAAATGGATATAGCATTGTTAATTACGATTTTGGGCAGATCGTTGATATAAATGAGAAACAGCAACGGGCCTAAAACCGAGCCTTGAGGAACACCATCAGTTATT